TAGAGCGAGCACGCTCTCGTTCGCATGCCATCGAAGTCGGCGGAGGTACGAGTAGCACGAGCGAGCGCGCCGCATGCTATCGTTCTCGTGCTCGCTGTTGATGCAGCGAGGCAGCTGCTCGGGCGCATACTTTAGGCGGATGGAGTAGAAGAGAGCGGTGCAGCGATTGTGAGGGCGCACGATCACGAACGCCCGCGGGTCTGGCGTGCTTGGTGCTGAGGGGATATGCGGGTGCGCCGGTGGCCGAATGGCGGTATGGGGCTTGCAGGGACCCGTGCTGGCTCGTTCGCGTGTTGTCGAGATTCATGCACGGTGCGGGAGACAAATAGGGTGGGGGAGCCTTTCAGGAGGGAACCTAGCGCGTGTGAGCCGACGCTGCCGGGAACGGCCTCACCAGTCCCTCGCATCCACTTTCGTAGTACTCGAGGGTGCACTTGCCACAGCGTGACCGACAAGCTGGTACATTGGCGATGCAAGACGGGTGGTTCGTGCACGATGAGGCGCGAAAAGTTCATGCGCGCGTCGGTGGAGGTGACCCTCCACAGTACTGAGGCAGTGATTGTCCTAGTCCATGCCTCCTGGATGATGCGGAGGTGTGCGTCGGCCTCATCGTGAGTGGCCTCTGGGCGTGCATCGTACTCGAGGCGATGTTGTTGTAAGACGCGTGGATTTCCGAGTACAACTCGGATCTCCAGATGATGGACAGAGGTGAGAAAGATCGACTAGAAACAGCACCGTGAACAACACAGTGTGGTCAATCGTCGAGACTGATAAAAAAAAAGAAAACGTTTGTTAGCGTGTCGAGTCTCAAATGACAACTTACCTGCGGACCTCAGCGTCCGGCCGCATGTATGAAGCACAGCCTCTCCGTCCTTCACGGTCATGTACGATACTTGCGAATGTCGAGGAATGCACGGTGAGGAAGGCTGAGGTCCGAGATAGAGAGGCGAGATGCGAGAGGTGAGAAGTGGGAACAGGCGCGAGTCTCCCCGATTGGGAAGTGAAAGCGGCAGCAAGAGCGGATCTAAGTACAGGTCCTGGACGGTCGCAAAGGGCTCCGTTCGCTGAGATTCTTGGCATACATATAGGTGAATGGTATAGCGAGAGGTCGCAAGCAGCGCCTAGGGGATAGAGTGAATGTAGGGCGAGAAAAAAATAAAATGAGCTACGCGCTAAACGGGCACTTATCGAGTGAGCTCAAAAGATAGAAAACAAATCGGACGGTGAAAATACTTGAAATATTGAGATGATGAGGAGGATATGCATTCCTAGGGGTCGCAAAAAAAGGGGAATTTAGAGCACCTGCTCAAGCTTTTAGAAATATTCTAGTCACAGTTGACAGAATGCAAAAAGTTACCTGATTGCGCAAGCTTTCGCGCATGATCCATTGCGTCGAATGATTGCGACCCTTTTGCGACCCCGAGAATCGAAGCAGGGCTTTCAAATGAGATTGTTTTCAAGATGATAGGACATGATCTCGAGGAGCTAGGAGGTGCGCACGGAGGGAGGCCGAATGTTACATTCAGCCCGGGTTATATAGATAGGGTGGAAGGAGAGCCAGGACGATGCGCGGGAGCATGAATGCGCATGGTTGGGTGGCACGCCGAGATGGTATCCGTGTTGGTGTCAATCAGAGGGGCTGTAAACGATGACACGTGTGCGGGATGACCATGTGCTGCGACGGGTGATGTGAGAGTGAGAGAGCGTGCGGACGAGCGAGACCGACAGAGCATGCGGACGAGGGAGAGCCTGCGGACGAGGGAGAGCCTGCGGACGAGGGAGAGCGGCGGGTGCGCCGTCGAGGCAGCAATCATGGCCATCGTCCGTCGTGGCCTCCAACAGCATCTCCTCGAGGCTGATGGACCTTGCCCGACTACGTGAGCGAGAATGAGAGAGAGCGCGAGTGTGAGCGGCCACGACGGTGGGG